ATCTCGCACCCTCATTCGAACAGTCCCAGACCAATTTAATTCTCAGCTAATGTAACAAGAACAGAAGTATATCACCTTGATTTTTACCCAGCCTGCGTGAACTATGAATATTCTGTCTATAAATTGGCGTTGATTGACTTTATGAGTTGTTGTATGCATCTATTAGACCATGTAGGCTATTTGGTCAAATGGATTTTGGAGAAGGTACATTTTTATTAGTTAAACAAACAGTGGAACACCACCAATAAATGCGTGGAGACGGCTCTTTTAAACCAGCGATAGTTTTGAGTTTCATAGTGAAGTTTATGTAAAATAAGCAAAATCGCTGAACGGCAAATCTAGTCGTGAAATCGGCAAATTTAACGCAAACTGAAATGGCATTGATGAAGAATTGTGCGAAATAGCCGTCTACTACATAGCGTCATATTTGAAGAAGCCACGTGGTTTATCGTAGGGGACTAAATCTGAAATAGACCCTCGCACCATTCACCTAATGATAGAATTTGCTGCACATGACCACCAAAAAGTGGCGTTTTCTTATAGGCGGGTATGATGTTCCACCTGCAACACCATATCAAGTATACCGAGAATATACTATTCAAAACCGACGGCACCGATGCGTTCATCCTTCCCAGTGTGATTAGTTTGCCAAAAAAGAAGCCACATGTGCTCATGTCTGAAAAATACCTAGCGGAAAAATCTGCGTGGGAGTTTATGCGTAGGCTGTATTATATTGTTCTTTCAATACGTCTATTCGAATGGGGAGGTCGGAAGGTATAAATAGACTGAAAATCAATCGGTTCAGTTTGGAAGAAAATAGAGATGAAACTGTCTTGTGTACACTTTATCATCCTCCAAATACTATTCGGCGGTTGTTTGGGTCTGAGTACGTGGTTTCGGTCATCTCCATTGAATAGTATTTGATTCGTTATATTCTGGATAGAACTGCCCAACAAAAACGGTCGGCTGCAGTTACCTTGTCAATACTTGAAGGAAAGGGATTAGTCCAGATACTATTCTTAACTGGCTTAGAAACCCTGTCATTTTCCTCAACCTTAAAATTTCTAGCTACGTTGAATTACCGAAAAGAAGCCGTCTTGTACGAGTATATATATACTTGTTTTTATATACAGGTTTACCACTGGATCCACAACTGGGAGGTAAGCTTTATTTTATGCTACGGGATATAATCGCCACTGTAAGGTATATTGAGCTAAAGTCATTTTCTAACGCTGCTTTAAATTGGCGGAAAAGTAACACCTTCACATAAACTCTAGCCACATTCGGTTCAGTTTTTAAGCATAATGGCAAGTGCATCATGATTAGATAGTGCCATAAGGGTTTTACCGGCAACTCTAAAAAGAACTATCAATTATTCATACAAAAAGGACTATTATTTCCTTGCCAGCTTCCATTTTAACCCGTTCACCAAAAGTAGGAATTTATTGTATGCGATGCCGTTATCAACTTAGTGCTTTGATTTAATTAACACGCATCGACACATGAAAATTGATCAGCTGATCAAGTGTTGCATTCTTTGATGCAATATATTCCCAAAATTATGTAAACATGCTAGAAGTAATGCGCGCTTCACTGATTAGTACAGTCTCCCGAAGAATAACAAAACAATATTAATTGAACCGAATTATAACAATTGTCGAGAAGTAACAGCGTAAATCTGCACTAGGAACTTGCTAATTTGGTAGCATTATCGTAGACGAAAACAAAGAAAGATCACTTTGGGTCTACGTAGTGTTTTGGTTACTTTGATTCGATAAGGGTGTAGGTTTCTGAATTTTTTTCAGAGTCTGACTAAGCAGATCTCAATTACAAGAATTTTTTTCAGAGTCTGACTAAGCAGATCATCAATTACAACAGTTCATGGGACCAGAAAATTTTATCTCCATAACCGTCAAGCACGGTGAAACTCAACACACGTGATCAGTAATTTGATCATGTTATACAGTAAACTACATCATGTTTGACTCTTGATAAATTTGTACGAGCACTTCGCTCATCACTTTCTTAAGACAACGATTAATGCACGTGTAATAACCTCATAAATTTTCATCATTCGCAGAAGCGATACCGGAGGAGATATCCGAGGAGCTTTTACAGTTGCAAGGTTTGTTAGATTGCCAGAATCATGCTTCATCGATATGCATGTAGCTTGTTCCATAAAAGGCATACCTGGACTATATTTTTGATATCAACCAACCTCTTTCGTACTGTAGTGTCAGCCTTCTATCACAACTTGAAACGTCCATGTTAAGAGGTGGCCGTAGAACAAATTATACATACAGTGATTTTCCAGATATTTATATGAGGCAAATCAAACATGAAAATCCGATCGCCCATAGGCAACAAATGTGTTAATATTTACAAAAAGCATCCATGCATCAAAGTTTAGAATTTCGTTGTGCCCTGTAATAGTTTGCAATATGCTGACATGTCTCTTGATGCGGTCTGAAATGTTAATACCCCAATACACCAAAAAACTTTCAACCGGCGAACCAACTGAAGCCATCCAAAATATGCATAGCATAATATGGAAACGTTATAGAATAGGTAGTATTCCTCTGAGATATTTTGGCGAAGACAAAAGTAGGGATCAAATTAACGACAGAAAATGGCAGCGACAAAAATGCAAAAGGATAACACGGAGAAGCCATAATACGCATCCATGCATGTCCGACTCACTAGTTTGCCTAGATAGCTCCGGTGAAGTTGCCATCATTTAGAATGCTCAGCTCCGTATTTAGTGGCCATATGGGTGTTTGTTATGCTCAAGTACATAAATTGCGCATAGATAAAAAGCGTGTACCAGCAAACTCAGAGAACTACAGGTGTATATAATACCAGAGGTGGCATTGCGGAAAACAAGAACGTGCAAATCCTTTCCGGGTTGGTGAACGAAATATTGACGAAGACGCTATATATCTCGCGCTATATGTCCCGGTATGTAACGTAGCCAGGAGAGCACTACTCGGGTCTCGTCGATAAGATCGGCAACATTTATACAAATGTTGCCGATTCGTACTTGAAATTACTCTAGTCTAACCTTGCTTGCCGTGACGTGTGATGCTTTTTCGTATTCTACGGCAAAATGGCAACCTGCAGATTTTTGCCGCTGCTTGTTTGAAGCGGCCCAAAAATAATCTGCACTTAGTGTTCAGAAGGTAAAATTACTTTTGCTCCTACATGAAATTTGGTTCGATAATTTAAACATCGCCATCACTGAAGTTGCCAACTAATTTGTGTCCAAACAAGTCCTTTTGTCCAGGAGGTCTCATTCCGCTGCCGTTTTGTTGTCACGAACAAATTTTCTATAGATTACTGCCTACATCTGCAGCTTACGGTGTTTTTTTTCAAAACAAAAACAATTATATCATATCTTGCTCATTGTTGCTTGTCTAATTTCAGAGGAAATCAAATCTTATCTAGATAGTTTGAAACGTATGTCTTTCTCGGTTGCTTGCGCATCTTATTGAAATTTAACCGGATGAGGGACGCATTTCGTATTTGCATTTTGTGATTTACATGCTACCATAGTGAAAACTTATTTTTGTTATTTTTTCCAAAATATTGGGAGAAAACGCATTCTGAGGGTGCTTGAGTCTCAAACCTCAGAGGAGAGGGCTGCCAAGTGAGGAGTATGCAACACATCAAAATGGAACGCAATGTCAAAAATTAGCTTTATACAAATTTTGCCTTTTATAGTTCATCGAATTTATTCGCAAATGAGTCCTTTTATACGACATATGAAACACAAAAGTGAAAATTTTCCACTTGCAGATGACCCATGTCCAAAACGTGGTAATTCCTGTGTACTCTGACATCGAGCGTCAAGGACGCCGCTGTGATAAGGGAAAAGCATATATAGTTACCGCCAGAGCAAATGTTTGAATGAAGCTTATTGTTTAGGTTCTCATGAACGAGCAGGCGATCAGCGGGATAATAGTTATTCAGCTTGGATTATACGGTTATTCGTCCAGTTACTGTGGTTCCCGCAGATTGAGAACAGTGGTTTTCAATTATCGCTAGTGAACATTTGTAAGAAGACGGTGAAAGACATGGTGAAAATGAAATTCCCATTCAACGTACCGTCATTGCGTGCCGCAAAATTTTGATGCGTTTTTAGTAAATAGACCTAAGCATCTCTTTTTGAATTTTACTTTTATTAAGAACGCCATAAAATTACTTCACCTATTGAATTTAGATAAACTTGGCACATTTTTACAACAATTGGAAAGTGAGTAATTTCTAGATAAATGTTTTTGCATCGGAACAAAACAACAGAAAATTAGGCACTTTGTGTCTAAATGTGGACTGAAGGGCACCTTTAGGGGAAAAACAAGGTTGATCGTGGCTCGATATTATTCAGGCTACCTCATTCTTTTGGGCTGCCTGACACACTAAATGATAGATACATCAAGACTCGTATACAAAGACGCCAGAATTTTAAAATAGGTCGTCACAGTTTCAGTCGGGCAGCTATACCCGAAAAATAAATCGCGTAGCTTTGTTGTGGTCGAGTGTACAGTAAATTCTGGTCAAATGTAAGCTGAATTGAGTCCGTCATGTAGCCGGTCAACTACTTTGTTTGTGTCGACTGGGCCACCCAAGGAAATATTATGTTGATGCATTAAATATTTTTGAATATGCTTTATCCTACTTTTGCAGTAATTTGAAAAAGCGAGCATTGATTCTCTATATCTGTTGCGCCGCTAATACAGTAAGGATACTGCTATCCACTGCGCAGGATCCTCTGTGGTACACCGTTTTACACAAGCCAAGTTCAGCTCAAGTTCTTCGGATAACACAAACTATTCCGCACTGCCGACAGTTGCTAATAACTCAGATGTCAGGATGAAAATGGATTTTTAGGTGCACATTCCGGTGAGCATTCGTGTTGTGAGGCTCACTTAGGGAACAACCGTTTACACCAAAATATTCGGAAATGACAAAAGCCGCGAAATATTTACGAAAAATGCTATAAGAAAATGCAACACACAGAATCAAATTCAATCAGATTTGAAGACATACGGGTCCTATGTCTTGAAGTGCACTCGCATCTGTGTAACAGTGAAAGCTTAACCAACGGTTCATTATCCATCGTTCTCGAACTTTTGTAAAACCGCTTTTATAATTCGGGGTTTTAGGATACGCAATAAATTATCTTTGTCCATTTCTAACAGAGACATTAAAAGAGCTTGGAGAAAAATTGAAAGGTTTGTTATCGGGTTGATGCGTTCCGCAAACAGACATTAGTATTTTACACTGTGTTTCATAATGAAATATTTTTGGACATGTCATTTCCTTGATTACCTGTATTGTTCCTTGAGGAACCGATTCATTCATTAGAAGAGAACACATACCAAGATTCCCCTGAGATATTTGTTTGAGTGACCCGCAACTCCTCCTCAGCAATGGACATTTAGCACCATGCTTACCATTCGCGACCTGTCTACTGTAACTTATTTCTGCTTTACTGTACAACGTGAAGATGCATATAAGTGCATTGATAAATATACCTGAATGTCGATTTAAGCGAAAAGCACATCTAATGAATTTTATGGTTTTCATTTCCCAATGTGTGAATGGCATGAAATTTATGCTCACGCAAACGACATATCGCCAATAAAACCGAAAATATCCTATAATTCTATGTAGTCTGTTGTCCAATTTGAAACCGTGGTGTTTTATGCAAATCCATAGTTTTTGGAAGTGGCTATGCAGACCAATCAATATTAATCAGGCCTAGAGAATTTATTAATGTAAACAGTGCGCCACCACCGTCTGAGTGTACTGCCAAAATAAGCAGTATCATTGTCTCGCTTTGGGCGCTGCTGTACAAAAAATTATTTCGGATTCCTTGAAGCGATTGATTTTGTTTAACAGCTGCAATTGACTTTTATCTGCTGACTATGAGACCTTTGTGTAATCGACAATGCTGAACAAGAAAACCAAACAACAGTTGTCAGGTACCGTCTATAGAACAAAACTAGATTTTTTCTCAGTAATTTCCGGTAGCTATTAATTCTTAGTAATAGCCTTGGTAATTCGGAGGAATAAATGCCGTTCGTTGCCTTCCGACAACTAATAAAGCAATACACTTTCGACGGAACCAATACGCTACATGTTTTCCTTACAAGACCAACAACGCTAGTCAAAACACTGGAAACTTAGGCGTCATTATGGCAAATAAAGCATCCAAAATAATATCTAGATATGCTAAGTACCTGGGGTACAAGCACGTAGGAGGTTTAAAAACGATAATATAATTCTAACCTAGCAAGCGCTTCCAAGTACTAGCATTCTCCGTCTGATCTTGAAATGCTAGCAATGGTTTGGTGGATCATACAATATGATTTTGATTGTGCTTTTCTTCATAGCTATCCCTTTTAGTAAAGCAGATGCAAACTTAAACCCACGTATATTTTGCTGGATTGCTGCATAGTTGAAAACTGGTCCTGGGAAACATTCAACAGCAAGCAGATCTCAATTTTGCACTGCAAATTATTTATGGTGACTGATATTCGATGCCAAATTTGACCATTACTTACGGTTAGAAAAAATGGTTGAGAAAATTTAGTGCATTTTGTTTTCCTTGATTGTTGACACCGAACCCAGAGAAAAGAAGATTTCTATCATTCTTAATGCCATTGCTGAGAAAAATACCCGCTACAGAAGAGTTTGATATATAACGCACAAATGTTAGCCAAAAAGCTAATAGAATTTAGCAAATTAATGCATCATCACAATTGGGTTCAACGTTTATCCCTCATCGCACGCCTTTGTCAATTTGTGTAATAACGTGTCAGTTTTTTACTTTTAAAAGCAATGCTACTGAGCGACTTGCAGAAACTAAAAGGTATGATTCATTTTACAGATAAAATTCGCTAGTCAGTTTCGAATACTAGGCAATTATAATGTCAGAAACTAATATCTTCGCATCGCTAGATTCGCTATAATGTCGGGATAAAAGTTTCACAGTGCCTGATAATGTCCACTCATTTATGTGTACAGAATGTTTTCTTCGAAATTCAGTTGCTTGTGTTTTCGAGAGAATAATATCAATGTTTTGGAAGAAAAACGTTATACAACACTTGGCCAATTAAAAACAGCAGCCTAGGTTTTGCGGAATGTGTATTTCGTTCATACGTAAACCACTCTTGTTTTCACAGTCGCCGTCCTTCGGCGTATTTATTATGAGGTGTTCACTCAAACGGAAAGCACTGGGCTCAGCGCTTTCTAATGTTTTATCGCATCTGCTGTGCATATCCAACAACCCTACCGGGATGTGAAATCTGGACATCAGACATGCGAGGCAAGAGCTTTGCAACTGCTCCAGAAACACGTTAGACTCCTCTAAAATTTCGAGGCTTAACAGACAAATACATTACTATTGAGCAGTGTGATTGGTGTGCCAGATACATCGAGCGATGACCCATCAACGTCGGATGGTATAAAGCATAGGTTCATAAACTTTATACAAAAATTAAGTAGAAATAGGTGACAAAGACTGGCCCATACTGTTCATGAAAACTATGAATATGTTGAGAATCGGACGCTGGCCGAAAGAAGGCCTTTGTGGACCAGTTGGAAATTTAATTCCTTTCAGTAATTTGAATATTTTCAGAACAGGTAGTTCAACCGCTTCAGATTGGTTCTGTGCAATCGTCAATTGTGGCAAGTCATTATCCTGTGAAGAGCTGGAGTGTGATCACTATCAACCATAGAATTCAATGGAATTTATTAGACGCCCAACGTTCCCGTTACGCGGAGTGACGTTCGTAGTCAATCCTGTGCTACAGGTAATAGTTCAGTCTATACAGAAAATGACTGGTTCCATGGAAGATTCGAACACACTCTGTCAAACCCGAGATTCGCCATGTAGCACCGCTCTGATTTTCTGACAAACCGGCTTGCACTTATCACTAGCAAAGTGCACCGAAAATCGATAACCACAGGTTATCCTCATTTAGCTTGGCTTAATCTTTTACTTGGCCAGGTTTGGCATCCAAAGTTTAATTTGGTACGTCTGTCTGTGTGCGTCAGACCACTGATCCAACCAAATGGTTGATGGGGACATTGTGACTGCTGTGCAATCACGTGGGCAACGATGTCGAAAACAAAGCTGAAAGTCTTTCAAATATCCAACTGTGTAAGCTGAAGGAGACAACAAATGTTACAACGAAGACAACAGTAAAAAACCAGCATTTCATTAACTACATGCGTAGAAATTTTCCGTGATCTTCTGGTTTGATAGGTTGCTCATGTTGCATACACTTTAATTGCGTGTATTTTGTCTGTACTGTGCGAGATTATTTTGCCTGCTTTTTGTACTGTGTGCAATCCATCGCTCGTTTCACCTCATATAGAACAAATTTCCGGCTATTTGTCGGGGATTATTTGTGAGTATTGATTTGTATTATCTTGTCTGAACTGTTTGCAGAGCATACATTTAGTTATTTATCGTTTTTGGAACGACGTAAGCATCCAGCTTGATCTCAAGCTGAAACGACTTACGGTCGGCATTTTATCCTGATTTTGTGGACGGTTAGGCAGGTGGAA